CTTACATAATCATTTTACCTTTATTGTGCTTTTCATTGTCAGAAAATCAAAACAATTAATGACATTTGCATGGAAAATGAATAAACTATTTAATCTGGCTGATAAACAGCATAATTACATTCTTTGTCAAAAAAAATGTCTTGTCAGTGTAAAGAAACCCCTATTGCTATCTCTATTTCAGTCAAATATGAGGGCTAAATGAATAAGTAAGGACCCCTTAACCACTTGCTGGTTCCAAAAAAGCTCATACTGGTGTCATGTTACCACAGAACTACAAATTAAACCTAAAGAAAACTAGTAAAGCTGTACTTGTGTGGAAAAAAATAAGAAATTATGCAATTTATTTATTTCGGTGAAAATAATAGGATGTACAGGCAAATAAAATATGTCGCGTCTCAAATTCCAGTGGTTGCACATGTGTCAGACACTGCGAAAAGTTAAAGCGAGCATTTATAATTAAAAATGTATTGCAAGTTACATAAAAATAATGAAGTTCTACTTTCTAGGTAAATTTTTACTTTATTACCCACAGATCAGGCAAAATTTGCTGAATCAGCAATTTTTACTCCCAGGGGTGGAATTTAAGGGCTGTTTTTATCAAAGTTGCCCTTAATCAACTTTTTATTGATAAACTTACAAATTGCATAGGTAAAAAAGAATCCTTCATTGATTTAGTGTAAACATGTATATCCCCCTTAAGGTGGCACGGTAGTATTTCCTGGCCCATAAAGGATAATGATAGCCTTTTTAGAATTTTCACCACTTTCTAACACTGCTAAAAATTCTACATTCACAGTTAACTGAAGTACTTTCATTTTACTATTCAGGAATGAATTTGAATATGTATCATGACCGTTTACTTTTTTTGCTATCTTTAAGAACCTAAGGCCACTAGTGCTTTTAGGTCTTTTATCGTGCAGTGAATACAAAATTTAAAAAAATTCTCAAAAATTCACTTTTATCTGTATGTAAAATTATTTCATATTTTTCTACACCTGATTCATCCCTCAGTTTGGGAAAGTATGTTCAGTTGATACTGTATTTTTTGTCCAATCATAATGTTCAGATACACTGACTTAAGTAGGGTACACAAAAGAGCAACCTAAATTCTGGAATGCAAATACTACCGTGCTACCTGTAAGGCTTACATCAAAATAATAATCAGTCGTCGCACAAATTTTCTTGGACTCAAGCATTTTGCAGGTAGTTGTGAACAAATTAAATATTGAAAATTATTTGGAGTGAGAGGTATGAAAATATGGGAATTTCATTTTACTTTACCGATAATCATGATAATAACGAGTTAGATTTATAAGGGTCTGGATGGTATTGCATACCATAGATGAATGTAGGACAGAAAGTTACAGACAAATAGTCACTACAAAACGTCACAGCCATAAAGTCACATACAAAAAGTAAGAGGACAAAAGTTACAAACAAAATGTCGCAGGACAAAAAGTAAAAATTCAGTAATGAGTTATCTTTCTTTAAATATAAGAAAACATTTTTGTAGTTTTCTTGATCTATCAGATAAAAATGCGGTTTTTTTTTGAGTGCAAATTCTACGTTTAAACACTAGTTTAAAAAATAAGTAAAAATAATTTGCGCCAAAAAATGAAGTAAACGACTGCGCAAATGTACTCTTAGTTATACACAGTTAAAATGACTTAACTTCTCTTTTTTAAACGGGCATTGATTGGAGGTAAACGGACAGAGAGTCACAGGACAGAAAGTCACAGGACAGAAAGCCACAGGACAGAAAGTCACAGGACAGAAAGTCACAAATTTGATAGGACAAAAAGTCACAAATGATTTATTGACAATTGATTGGATATATAAGAGAAAGATCTTCAAATATATTCTTTTTTTTCATATATTCATTTTACAGCTTAGGAAATTGTTCATTAGCCTTCATAAATTGATAAATTCTTAAACTTTAAACATGCAAAGGATATATTTCTTGGCACCATAAAGCCTTTTAAGTAACAAGCCATTTTTGAAATTTTCTCATTTATTTATTGAAATTTATAAAATAAATTTTAATTACTAAGTTGCTTTATATATAATAGTTCAAGAAAAATACAAAAATGTTTGTTTCTTTTAAATAAGTGTTTTCTTATTCAAAGAAAAAAAATCTCAAAACTGAAAAGTGACTTTGTCCTGTGACTTTCTGTCCTACATTCTTGATTGGACCAGCAGTTTAACATTGGCGAAGTTGGTGGATCATCACTATATATTTCCTCAGACAGAATTTTCTGATACTTTGCCAAAATGTAGATTTGACAATGCATTTACACATGAGGGTAAATCCAACAAAAGCGCTTCGGACGCACAAAATTAATAGACTTAGTGTTATTGTCATTTACTACATGTAGCACATGGTCTATACAACAGCTGGTGGACTTTTGGTACGGTATTGGGTCCGTTCGCTCCTGAAACACATTCGCACCCTACACGTTCGCACCCCACACGTTCGCGCCTTGTTGTAAAAAGGTAAAGTCACAAAAATACTGAACTCCGAGGAAAATTCAAAACGGAAAGTCCCTATATGATAAAACACATCAAACGAATGGACAACAACTGTCATATTCCTGACTTGGTACAGGAATGGTATCAACAACTCAGTAGTCAGTGCTTCGGTAATACTGACATGTTTTATTACAAACTTTGTTAATTTTTCTGTTGATATGCCTAAATTAAGAAATTAGTAAGGAGCTATGGTTCCAATTCCCTCTGGCAAAGTTGACCTTAGATGAATTTGGCTATAATATTTGATTTGATTTTTGGTGTTTTAACGCCACTTTTAAGACCGCTTTTGGGCTATTTATTGGCGGCCAGTTTTTATTGGTGGAGGAAGCCGGAGTGCCCGGAGAAAACCACCGACCTTCGATAGGAAAACTGACAATCCTAGTCAATTAAGATTGGAGTCGAGTGCACCCGCACGAGCGGGGTTCGAACTCACAACCTCAGTGTTGACTGGCTAGTGATTGCAGTAGTAACTACTTAGACCACTCGGCCACCGAGGCCCCTTTTGGCTATAATATGATCCTTTTCAATCACATAGCTTTTATCATGTCAATGTCTTATACATCGTTGGCGGTCTAAAAGTTCCATTTACCCATAAACTATTTGTTCAGTACCGGTGACCACACTTTCCCAAGGATTATTAGGTACGATAAATATGTACAGGCAAAATGGCGAAAATAAATTCCGTAAAATGACTCAATTTGAAAAATGATTTTTGGTCCAAATGAAGCATCTTGAAAAAAGTAATTGGTGAAAAAGGACTTATATCTAAGAGAGAGAATATAAAATATATAAACATAAACTGTGTGACATAGGAATAAGTTAAAATCATAAATGAACAAGTAGGGATTCAGTTTATCCAGAGACATAGTATTATGTCTCTGGTTTATCCAACAAATTGGTTTTTTTTTTCTTTATTGGGGGTAAATAAATGAATTGAAATATTTACGGAAGAATTGAAGAATGATCTTTTTAATGCCATGACAGGGAACCAAGGATTTGTATAGTAAGTCTTACTGTAGAAATCCTTGAGGGAACAAAGCTTTGATTTTCATTATAGTACAACAAATATACACTCTTTTTGAAAGATGTTGGGGGCCTGAAAAGGGCCGTAATTATAAAATGACAGCTTCTCATTAGCATATCACCTAAAAGATAAATTGTAAGCTAAAACATTGTAAGGGAGGCATCTCAGCTACAGATACAGATCTCTTAATGTAAAATAAATTGCTTCGCCTAGCGCAGCTGGATACGACCACAGAGGTCCAACCTTGAACAGTTGGGGCAAAAATGGCCACACTATTCAAGCTTAATACAGGTCTGAATTTGGATTGTAATTAAATATTTGACACATAATAGGTTTCTGACACAGAATAAATGTAGTCAAAGAACTCAGACTATATAGTATATATATACAAAGAATTAGCAAAATAAATTGTGCCCCTGACCCCAAATTTTTCTTTGGAAAATTGACAATTTCTTAAATCTTGAGGAAAAAAAATTGACCCCCTTAAAAATTTACTTGTGGTGTTGAACCTTGTGGTACAATTTCAGAGCAATCACAATACTTATTCACAAGTTATTGTCCTGAAACTAGAAAAATGCTTGTTTTGGGCTCCTAATTCCTAAACGGTTGGGACCATCACCCCCAAAAACAATCCCAACCTTTCTTGTGTGGTATTGAACCTTTTGGTTTAATTTCATAGAGATCCATACACATAAACTAAAGTTATTGTCCGGAAACCAAATGTCTTCGGACGACGACGACGACATAGCATTATAATAATTTGCGGTTGTATTTGGAGTAACTTAAAAACACGACCCAGAATCAAAATTCTAAATACACCGTAAGATTAAGCATAACAAAGAACCCCAACATTTCAAGATTAATCAAACCCCTTTGAAATTGGTCAGAAATAAGTAATTCAAAAAAAGTTAAAAAATGCTTGTTTTATACCCCTTTTTGGTCCCTAATTCCTAAGAGGACATAACCCCAAAATTCAATCCAATATTCCTTTTGAGATATGGAACCTTGTAGTACAAGTTCATACAAATCAATACACTAAAATCAAGTTAATGTTCAGAAACCAGAAAAATGTTTGCTTTTTGACCATTTTTTCCCAAAATTCTTATACGGTTAGGGCCAGAACCACCAAAATCAATCCCAACATTCTCTTTGTGGCATGGAACCTTGTGGTACAATTTCCAAGAGATCCATACACTTATACTCAAGTTATTGTCTGGAAACCAAATGTTTTTAGACGACAACATTGCCATACCATTATAAGGCAGCAAATTTTTGCGTTCTTATGAAAATAATGTATTCATTGGTCAAAACATAAATATTGGCATGCTCTCCAATAAATATGAATGATAATAACATCAATGATGAAAACGCTTCAGCCTTGCTTTGTATATGTCAGAGAATGATAATTCCTTTCTTCATGATACAGTACGAGCGTTATATAGCGAGTGCTTATCACGAAGAAAGGGACTATCATTCTCTTACAAACTTAGAATATTGTAAAGTGCGCAAGGCTCAAATGATCTCTTGATTGGTTGTATTTAAAATTAGTTTCATTGTCAGTGCAATGTTTGTAATTAATGCATGACTTCCTTTTTAGGCATTTCATTTATGGATTAGTTTTAGTGATGCAAGGACTTTCTTATAATTTTGGAAAATATCATAGATTGTGTTTTAGACATTAGATGACACAACAGTACAATGAAATGGTAAGATATGTTTCCTGATTGTGAGTATGAAGGGGGCTATGAATGTAAATCGTGTAATATTTTAGCGAGGAATTATCTTATTTTAGTTTATTTCCTGTTCAAATCAATAAATCCAAAATTTGAGTTACATCAAAGTCGATATGCACAGCTACATAGTATTTCCTTATTATCTACAAAGTTTTATAAAATGTTGTGTGGTTTAAGTGGAATTGTGATGACAAACTGTTTCAGTAGTATTTTTTGTCCAAAATTGTTGTTTGAAATGTTTCAACTTTCTGCAAGTTCTGTCTCTGATCTGCTGATTAAAAAAAACTTGCCCACATACATCTCATGATTCACATTTATAAGTTTTATATCAAGAATGTGTTCTCATGTGTCTCTGTATGTCATTATCATGATTAAACTCTTTACCACATGTAAACACATTAATAAGTTTTATCTCCAGTATCATGAGTTTGTGTTATCTTGTGTCCCTGTAGGTCATTATTCTGACTAAACTCTTTACCATATTAATAAGTTTTATCTCGGACTCCAGGTATGTGTTCTCATGTGTCTCTGTACATTTAGGTCATTTTCTGACAAAACTCTTTACCATAGTTAATAAGTTTTTATTTTATCTCGGACTCCAGTATGTGTTCTCATGTGTCTCTGTACATTTGGGTCATTTTCTGACTAAACTCTTTACCATATTAATAAGTTTTATCTCGGACTCCAGGTATGTGTTCTCATGTGTCTCTGTACATTTAGGTCATTTTCTGACAAAACTCTTTACCATATTAATAAGTTTTATCTCGGACTCCAGTATGTGTTCTCATGTGTCTCTGTACAACAAGCATGTTAAGGTCATTATTCTGACTAAACTCTTTACCATATTAATAAGTTTTATCTCGGACTCCAGTATGTGTTCTCATGTGTCTCTGTACATTTAGGTCATTTTCTGACTAAATTCTTTATCATATTAATAAGTTTTATCTCGGACTCCAGTATGTGTTCTCATGTGTCTCTGTACATTTGGGTCATTTTCTGACTAAACTCTTTACCATATTAATAAGTTTTATCTCGGACTCCAGTATGTGTTCTCGTGTATCTCTGTACATTTAGGTCATTTTCTGACTAAACTCTTTACCATATTAATAAGTTTTATCTCGGACTCCAGTATGTGTTCTCATGTGTCTCTGTACATTTAGGTTATTTTCTGACTAAACTCTTTACCATATTAATAAGTTTTATCTCGGACTCCAGTATGTGTTCTAATGTGTCTCTGTACATTAAGGTCATTTTCTGACTAAAATCTTTACCACATATATCACATTTATGCAGGTTTATCTACTGTATGTGTTCTTATGTGTCTCTCTCGGTTATGTTCCAGACTAAATCTTTTATCACATACATCACATTTATAAGGTCTTTCACCAGTATGTGTTCTCATATGTCTCAAAAGGTCATTCCTTCTAGTGAAATCTTTACAACAAACATCACATACAAAAGGATTATCTCCAGTATGTGTTCTTATGTGTGTTCGGAGGCTATCCACCCGATTGAATCCTTTACAACATACATCACATTTATGACATCCATCTCCAATGCATTCTCTCATGTGGTTCCGTAAGGTTCCAAGCTGACTAAACACTTTACCACATGCATTACATTTAGAAGGTTTATGTTCTGTGTGTGTTCTCGTGTGTCTCGTCAGATGCGTACCCTGACTAAACCCCTTACCACATGCATCACATGTAAAAGGTTTCTCACCAGAGTGTGTTCTGATGTGTTTCTTAAGGCTATCAGCCCGACTAAACCCTTTACTACATACATGACATTTATGTGGTTTGTCTCCAGTGTGTATTTTCATGTGTTTATGCATATTACTTTTGTCACTAAAAGTTTTACCACATACATCACATTCATATGGCCTTTCTCCAGTGCATGCTCTCGTGTGGCTCTGTAATGTACCAAGCTGATGAAACCATTTACCACAAGGAACACATTTATAAGGTTTATATCCAGTATGAGTTCTCATGTGAGCCTGTAAGTGGGAAATCTGACTAAACCTTTTACCACATACATCACATTTATAAGGTTTATCTCCAGTATGTGTTCTCATGTGTACCTGTAGATCATAAAACCGATTAAACACTTTACCACAAACACCACATGTATATGGTTTATCACCAGTATGTATTCTCATGTGTTTCTGTAAGTCCTTGCTCTGATTAAAACCTGTACCACATACATCACAATTATAATATTGATCACAAGTATGTGTTTTCACGTGTCTGCACACACGAGCACTATCACTAAAATCTTTACCAAAACTATTCAATTCAAAAGGTTTATCACCAGTGTGCAATTTATCAGGTTGATCACATGTATTTGTTCCATTTGTCTGCAAGGTCTCTTCAGTGCTCAATATTTTACAACACTCTACACATTTATAAGTTTCAAAGCCACTATAGGTTCTGATATGTGAATCTAGATTAAAAGCAGTATGATACTCTTTACCGCACACATTACAAATATCAATTTTCTCTGTAGTCTGAGTTTGATCAAGGGATATAATTGTCAAACTAACTTTATCGCCAATATGTGTACCTGTAGTCTGAGTTTGATCAAGGGAGATAACTGTCAAACCAGCTTTATCGTCATTATCAGAATTTATATTTGTTTCTGCCATTTTTTGTCGGCTATGGTATAAATTTGAACTTGTCTGTGGTCTGATTTCAATATTTCAAGCCTTTGTTTTTAACAATTGCAATGTATCTTATGACTGAAAATAGAAAGAGTTGTCTGATTAAAGGATACAAGTTAACCATGTCTGTTTAAGAATGGTGATACTCAAGAGTCAACAAGTTAAAAAATGAATATATATATATATATTTAATCAAAAATAACATGTATAAATAAAAATTACTTATGGAAAAAAGTATTACATGTATTATATGGGAATGATGAAATAGCATATGTCACGAAATAGAAGTTCCTTCATAATATTGGAAAAAATATTCTGGAATATTATTTCCACTGGAATAAATATTACAGTATTTGTTCCTAACAGAATAAATGGAATAGAATATTTGTTCCAACAGGAACAGATATTATGACATTGTTTATAACAAAGTTTCCAGTGGAACTTCTGTTAGGTGGAAAAATATACGTTGACACATAGAGTTCCACTACACTGGGTACCAATCACCTTTAAAGAACTTTAAGGACTGTGGGTTAATTTATTGTGTATCGCCTAAATAACATCATGTTATTGGTTGAATTTCCATTGTTTATAACGTTCTTAACCAATCACAATGTTTTGTTGTATGCTTTACAAAATATTACCCAGAATACATTATGTCAATTAATCTTGCAGAAAGGAATGAGGTTTTCACTGTTGAAATCTTGAAAATCTTACATGTACACAATGAACAGAAGCAATAAAAGTACTATTTCATTCATATTTATATATATATATATATATATATATAGATTGTATTTCGTTTAAAGTACATTTCTTAGCATCTACTTCCATACCCTTTCTCATGTTTCTCTTCAAATAAATAATAAAAGAATACACATTGGATGAAAATGGGGGGTAAGTATATGACAATTGGAATACTTCAGTATTTATACATTCAAAAACATTATAAACACATCACAGTAGATTGATATAATAAATAAATGTTAATCGAGCGTTCCATAGATAATTTTTTAACCAAATATCAATAAAAATGTTTTCAATCCTAAATTTATAGTGCAACATGACGTATCTAGTTATTATACAGTCGTTTATCTATGAAGTAATTTGAATTGATTATAATAACCGAACATATAATAATATAAACATGTTGCCTTTTGTTGGTCTTTGAGTTTCTCTTTATTTTCATTTATTCCGTGAAATGGTTCTTCGTGTGTTAAGTCAGTTGACTTACATTATTTGCAGAAGTAAAAAATAACTTTGAACTCACGTTTTCTTCCTCTATTAAATAATATTTTCAGAGTTTGTCGAAACAGTTTTCATCGGAGACAAATCAAAGGGGAATAATTGATTATAATTACATATGGAGCGCAAGTTTCTTATAATCCGTATCAATATCAAATCTATGCTTGCAAATGTTTTATCAAATGACAATACGAGCAAGGTGTTGCATCAGTGTTTTTTTTAATAGAAAGCGCGGAATTAATTATTTACTATACAAATCATTGTTATAATGCACACATAAATCATGTTATATAAATTGATCACATGATCAAAACGTCGCATACACTATTTTTTTTAAATAAATATTTGAGTGTAAATGTATTGGAAAGGGTTATTTGTTACCGAGGGGGAAATGAAAAAAACTAGATAATTAGAAAGTTAATAATACATAAATCTACATTAATAATTTCTTTTAAATTCTTGTTTATGCATGCATATAATTAATTAACTATAATATATTATATTATCATGATAGCTTGTTTTTGTTAATTAAGAGTTGAAAACAAATCACTGGTTTTATCAGAGACATATAAATACATTGTATTATATGTCTCTGGTTTTATCAAAGAAAATCTAATTGTAAGTAATGTTAGTTTATTTTATTTTTTTTGTATATGTATAATGTGATTATAGTAAAGCCACCATGCTGTACATAATAGTTACGAACGAAATCTGGTTTTTATTCGTGTTCTTAAAAAAACATTAACCGTTTAAAATTGAACTATGAGCCATGGACGCCAGTCACTAATGATACAACAGCTGTATGCAATTACAAGGCAGTTTATGACGGAGTCATGGATGTTTAAAAATACATCAAACATGAAAAAGCTTAATTGATTCCAAATCGAAAAAAAACCTTGAGTTAACGTTGTTGTTCCTGCGAAAAATGGGACGACAATTTCATACATGGGCATTATGGGTTAGAATATATATACGGTAAGTATTACGAAAAATGCAGTTGACCAGTGATGAATCTGAAAATACATCACACAGTATAGCATGCTTACATGAAGCTTGATAGAATTCAGGAAGACTGATTTGTAACTCTTTAAATCCCTTGTTTGAGGAGCATTTCTTATAATTCCCACTAATAGGACATTAATCGGTAATATATAAATAAAACCAATATCGGGTGTGGACCTGCGTCGCTAAATGCAATGATTCAATCTAAAATAATTACGGTTGACATACTTGGGTAGGACTGCTACGAATGATTCCGACAACAAAGGTAGGCGTGTTATACACCATTGTGTAGATAAACTCAATTTAGATTTACGGCATAACAAGTTTTAGTGGGGTTGACAACCGATAAATCGAAATATAACGGAATTTCGCGACCGGGTGACATTTTTCAAAAATACGAGTTAAGTACCTTGTGTTATATTAAGGTATATAGGAAAAAAAATTCTGAGACAAGTGCCTGTGAGACAGACGGAATGCAAACCTAAAGTCCCCTTCGACTTCGTCGGTACTTACTTATCCTCTTCATCCCCAGTTGGACATAAGGCCACTTCGTCGGTAGGGGACTAAAAATTAGTAAAAACACATGTTTTAAATATTCCAATTCAATCCTATATTGAACATCTTTAAAAACACAAACACAAACTCACACACACATTAAAAATACCAAATAAACTTTAATTGTTCTCATTATTGTGAAAGAGAGGCAAAAAATACCAAAAGGACATTTAAACGCATAAGTCGAAAATAAAATGACAACGCCATGGCTAAAAAAGAAAAAGACAAACAGACAAACAACAGTACACAAAAAAACAACATAGAAAACTAAAGACTGAGCAACACAAACCCCACCTTAAACTGGGGGTGATCTCAGGTGCTCCGGAAGGGTAAGCAGATCCTGCTCCACATGTCACCCGTCGTGTTGCTCATGTTAGTAGTCAACTTTATTTCATGTGACTTTTTTCCTTGATACTTTTTTATCCGTGGCTTATTTTTTGTGACTATTTTTTCTTACAATTGAAAATAAAGGGGTAGAATTAATTCAACATTGAGACAAAATAAATGTTTTCCAAAATTGTTTGTTCCGAGAAAAATAAAACTCATACCCCCCTTAATGGTAAATGCCTAAACAAACGGTGTACTTACAACAGATGGTCAGATGGTGACACTTTAACGACCCCTGTGTGCCATACCTAACGAAATAACTTAACAGATAGACAATGAAACTTCTATGACCCATGTGTGTCGTTTTGGGGTCGTTTATTAAAGTTATCAAAGATAATGATTTTATAACACATCTAAAATAGAACTGATCGTTGAATGTTTACTGTTTGAAAAAGCGTTGCATGTTGTAATGATTTTAGTGTACTATCTTTATACAATATAGTAACGCTTTTCTCGACTCGAGTCAATTCATGGCCAGACAAATTATTACAAGGGTATTTGAATAATTTAAACCAATATGATTAAAAACATATCTAATGACCAAATGTGTTGAGAATGTAATGAATCATCCGGTACAATTGGCAGGTATATGATAGGCTAAGTATTGTAGTATTTTCCACTGAACGTCAATTTAACCAAAATAAAAAAAAAAATTCGATAGTTAGTTTAGGTTCGATCTGAGTTTTAGTTCTTTTAATACTCGGTGTTATCTGGACCACTAGCTTTGGTAATACTCGTCCACTGATGTTATCTGGACCACTAGCTTCTTTAATACTCGTCCACTCATGTTATCTGGACCACTAGCTTAGTTAATACTCGTCCACTGATGTTATCTTGACCATTAGCTTCGTTAATACTCGTCCACTGATGTTATCTGGACCACTAGCTTCGTTAATACTCGTCCACTGATGTTTTCTGGACCACTAGCTTCGTTAATACTCGTCCACACATGTTATCTGGACCACTAGCTTCGTTAATACTCGTCCACTGATGTTTTCTGGACCACTAGCTTCGTTAATACTCGTCCACACATGTTATCTGGACCACTAGCTTCGTTAAATACTCGTCCACTGATGTAATCTGGACCACAAGTTTCGTTAATACTTGTCCACTGAAGATTTCTGGACCACTAGCTTCCTTAATACTTTTCCACTGAAGTTTTCTGGACCACTAGCTTCATTAATATAAATACTCGTTCACTCATGTTATCTGGACCACTAGCTTCGTTAAATACTCGTCCACTGATGTTATCTGGACCACTAGCTTCGTTAATACTCGTCCACTGATGTTTTCTGGACCACTTGCTTCGTTAATACTCGTCCACTGATTTTATCTGAACCACTAGCTTTGTTATTACTGGTTGTAGCTTCGTTAATACTCGTCCACTGATGTTATCTGGACCACTAGCTTCGACGGGTTTAGTTTATGTAACTTTTCGACACCTGTTGATGTAATTTATTCATAAGGTTAACCATCAGTATGTTTTCTCAAATGTCCCTTCATTGTATCATTCCTACTATACCCCTTGCCACATACTTTACACTTGAATGGTTTATCAACAGTATGTGTGCTCATGTGTTTTTGTAAATTACATCTTTCGACAAATCCTTTACCGCAGAAATCACATGTATAAGGAGTTTCCCCAGTATGTATTCTCAAGTGTCTCTGTATGCTATAGTTCTGACGAAATCCCTTGCCACATACTTCACATTTAAATGGTTTATCACCAGTATGTGTTTTCATATGTTTCTGTATGCTATGATTCTGACTAAATCCCTTGCCACATACTTCACATTTAAATGTATTATCACCAGTATGTGTTTTCATATGTTTCTGTATGCTATGATTCTGACTAAATCCCTTGCCACATACTTCACATTTGAATGATTTATCACCAGTATGTGTTTTCATGTGTTTCTGTAAGTTACCACTTTCAGTAAACTCTTGATTACATAAATCACATTTAAAGGGTTTGTCACCAGTATGTGTTCTCATATGTCTATTAAGTTCTCTTACTGAACTCTTTATCACACAAATCACATTTATAAGGTTTTTCACCAGTAGGATGAAATTTGATGTATTCCTGCTTTATTAACTGACCTGAAGTTAGATCAGGGGAGACAACCATGGAACCAGCTTTAGTTTCGGTGAAAGACATTTTATTTATTTCTGTAGTTTTTTTCCACTTTTTTCATTACTAGCCAGGAATCTGATCAAGAAAAAGATAATCATGAAGTAAAAATATATTATGTATATAAATGTATCATTTCAAAGGAAAATATCGGTTATAAATTTGGTGATGTATGGTGGGCGGGCGGGCCGGTCGGCCGGCTGCCAAACAGTGTCCGTGCAATAACGTGACAACGCTTTGACGAAATCAAATTTAGATGATATGTTGTTTTCTGCGACTAAATGAAGGTCAAGTCAAGGCTAAATAACCTTAAGTGATACTAATATTTAGAGCGTTGTCCATACAATTACTTGACGAAATAATATGTCACTTATGATAAATAGGGCAAGATTGATTTTGGCCTTTCCATTTCTGAACCCTACAAAATTCATTTATATTTTTTACTTGATCATGTTTTGGGGTACAGATTTGCAAATATCATTTTCATGCAGGAAAATCTGGTCAATATATATGTTCCTGCGTACATGTAAATATCAATGTCTATATACTGATGTTTAAATCTAATTCATTTTTTTTAAATCCCGATGGAGTGGTCCTTAGAAATGAGGGAGTATACCAGTAACAGTAACCGCGGAAGTAAACTGTTAAACAACGTTTTCAAACATTTATATATTTTGTAAGATACAATTACGGAGACGAATCTAAGCCTTGCTAACTTTGATCATTAGCTTATTTAGACACTGTGCTTATACCGTATACATGGTATAGGTAGGCTCCAGGAACTGGGTGTATATATGTTCACCTGCTCTGCACGATATAAGATTTGTCTCATCATATCTGTGATTACGACAGACCTCCAAACGACCCATGATTCCGTAATGAGGAGTACCCATGCTTAACTTCACATCCGTAAAAATCGAATAATTAATATTTTTTTTTTTTATTTTTCCTAATAATTAAAACAATTTGACAATAGTCCATGCATGATTACTATTCATTTTTTAAGACATGGATGCCTGTGTTGACTTTTGTGGACGTCACATGGCGACGTTTCCGTAGATTTTACTTTTCCGCTGAGAATCTTTCATCCGTTGATTACATACTGTGACAGTTTGGTGTATATTTAAATATATTTAGCTATGTTGAAAGACGACGTGCACAATGTCAAATAATAAAAATGAAAATTGTTCAGTCTCTAAGAAAATTTGTAAGATTTCCGCTGCTGTTTTTTCTAAATGGATGCAATTCGGGTATTCTGTGCAATTTGGGTACTGCTACGTAACATTCGCTTTTTTTACAATCAAAACTTTAATTACATGTATATCACATTTGTTAGGTTTATAATAATAATAATAATAGTAATAATAATAATAATAATAATAATAATAATAATAATAATAATAATAATAATGATAATGATAAGGTTTATAATAATAATAATAATAATAATAATAATAATAATAATAATAATAATAATAATAATAATAGTGGTTGAGAATTTGTAAAACCAGGTTTTATATTATCGATTTTTAAAAATAACTGACAATATATTTTTTCTTAAAAACATGCCCCCACAAAAGATGAATTGTCGGTACTGATGTTAGTCACTTATTTCAAAGAAATCTTTGTCATATATATATATCATACTTTCTGCTACTATACGGTCACAGTTACAAAAATTCACGTATTATCAAAGGTGGTACCAAACACCTTGACTAAAATGAATTTGGCTCGTTTAATTTTCATAAAATTTTGACAAAATACAATGTATTTACTTTGACCCTTTGACAAAAATATAAAAATTTCAAAAAACTTGAACCACACACTTTATCGGAAAAATTTCATTGGATTTTACCAGTTTGACAAACACTTATTTTGATCATTGAGAAGCTTAATATTTCCTTAACCGTGATAAAAACGTTCAGCTGATTTTTACAGAGTTATCTCCCTGTAGTGTTATGTACCATCTTAATGAAATTGCTAAAGAGAATGCTTGTTTCCAAATATTTCTGTTACTGAAAACGAGTGGTTTAGTTACACATATTTTATTTGCTTAAATATGCAAAAGGGGTGATACACAAGTTAATCAAACTTATAAAGTCTTCTCACATGAACAATTTACAACTGTTACAATATAATATTTACAAAGCATGCATGCAAACAACACAATGATTATATATATATTGGATATGTAAAAAAGTTTAATTACTCCGGGCACGACGAAGAAAATTTAAAAAATGTTATTGGTCGTGACCTCGAGGAGTTGAGCGAATGGTCAAAAAGGTGGCTTATGTCTTTTAATCCAGACAAAACAGAAATAATGATTTTTTCAAATAATGACGCTCCAGATCTAAAATTCTGCTTAAATAACAAAGAAATTCCTATTACAAAATGTCACAAACACCTTGGGGTAACGTTTTGCTCTGATGCTCAGTGGAAAAGCCATATAGACAATCTGATTATTAGTGTAACGAAACATTTAAATATACTGAGAAAACTCAAGTTACCGTATCAACTTTGTAGGAAAAACTTAGAAAAACTCTATATAGTTTTTATAAGACCTATTTTTGAATATGCAACTGAGGTTTGGGATAATTGTGGGATAGGATATGCTAATAAACTTGAAAGTCTGCAGCTAGAAGCTGCTAGAATAGTTACTGGTTTGCCTATATTTACAAAATCTGAAAAGCGGTATGAGGAAGTTGGGTGGGAAACTTTAGCTGACAGGAGGAAAAGACGAAAATTACAAATGTTTTATAACGTTCAATATAAACATGCTCCAGATTATCTATGTAATCTAGTTCCACCCAGTGTACAGAGCACAACTGTATATCCCTTGCGAAATGGCAATAATATCATTGTTCCTTTTTGTAGATTATCCCTTACTAAAGAATCTTTTATACCATCAACTATTAGACTATGGAATCATACCGATTTGTCCCTTCGAAAATCAGACTCTATCTCAAAATTTAAAATCCAATTAAAAAGGCTAAATACTATAAATAAAGATGTACCGAAGCACTATTTATATGGACCGAGGAAACTAAATATGATTCTAACACAATTCAGATGCTATTCATCTTTCTTGAACTATGACTTGTTTAGAGTCAATATAATTGCTGACCCATCTTGTTTTTGTAAATGCAACATTGAGACTGTACACCATTTCCTTTTCGGCTGTTCTTTATATACACATCAGAGAGAAATTCTGATGAACAATCTAAGATGGCTCCCTGGCGACCTTATATTAAATGTTAAGTTACTAACATCTAGTAATCCGAACCTTTCGTATGAACAAAACGTCAATATATTTAAACATGTATTCGAGTTTATTAAAAGGTCTGAGAGATTTGTTGTTATATGATACTAATATTGAATTACGGTACATTCACGTCATCATCCTCATCATCATTACCAATGTTTCCGTTATTATTATTTTATCTTTTTTTTTTTCAATAGATAGACTCTTATAGTATTGTATATTCTGAATTATTGCATGCTCACATTAATATTGTATTGTAATTTATTGTTATTCGGTATAAGTATATATATAAGTATGGTTTACTTGTGTCCAATCCATTTTACTTTGAGTAAATAAAATATGTTTAAACTATATGTAAAAAAGGATGATGTGTGAATGGTTGTACATAATATACATATATTCTTTATATGTACTTTTTTGTGCTATATTATACAATTAAAGACCTCTTTAACTCTTTAAAAAAAACATATTCATTCTTTATTTTTTTTTTTCATTTTCATCATTAGTTAATGACGAATCACCGGATGTCAAGATGTTCAAATTTAGTGGCGAGTTTTCTGGAAACCAGAACAGATTATTAGATAGTCTGATTCTTATAATAGCATAATTAGGACATTAAAAGAAGAAGTGATATTGATCTCCACGCTTAGCACCGCAGCACCAAGACAGATCTGAAATGACGAGTGGTCCTGCTCAATCCGGCCTTCACATCTTAACCAAGTGATAAAGGTTCCTTAATAACACAGTCTTAGGCGCCAAGGACAGGGGATTCTTAATTATTTGTGCTTGTGTATATATATATACTTATATATTTATCAAAATCCGTTGATTTTTATTGTAGTTTAGGGTTTGAATTTGTCACAAGTATTATGTACGCTGTATAAGAAAGATATATTATTATTATATATCCATTTCTCAATATTCTGTAAACCCCGTCCATTTATTAAGGTTCATCACCTGTGTGCATTCCCGTAGTTTCTGAAAGTATTGACTCATATAAAAGACTTTGTTACTGTTATAAGTTTTATCATCAGTGTGTTCATGTGTCTATATGATAGGCACTGTTGTCACCACATCCTTTACCACATGAAATGTACATTGAATAAATACGGTTATTCTCCAGTGTGTATTTTCATGTGTTTCAGTAAACTAACAAGCAAAGAATACCCTTTACCACATACATCACAAGTATGTGCTTTACCACCAGAGTGCGTGATTATATGTGTCTGTAAGTGCGTATTCTGTCTAAACTCTTTACCACATACATCACATTTATAAGGTTTATCCCCGGTGTGTGTTCTCATGTGTCTCTGTAGGTCATTGTTCTGAATAAACTCTTTACCACACACATATATGACATACATAACGTTTATCAGGTTTATCACCAGTGTGTATTCCAATCTGTTTCTGTAAATGATGATCCCTACACTAAACTCTTTATCACATATACCACATTTATGAGGTTTATCACCAGTGTGTATTCTCGTGTGTCTCCGTAAGCCTGTACTCTGCATGACTAAACCATTTTTACAGATAGCACATTTATGAGGTTTATCACCATTGTGTATTTCCATGTGTCTCCGTAAGTCTGTACTCTGGCTAAACCATTTTTCACAGATATCACATTTATAAGGTTTATTACCAGAGTGTATTAATTCTCATATGCTATTTTAACTGATTTTTCAAACAAAATCCTTTCCCACATTTATCACATTTATAAGGTTTGTCACCGATGTGTGTTCTTGTGTGTAGATATAAGAAGATGTGGTATGAGTACCAATGAGACAACTCTCCATCCAAAAAAAAAAACCAAACTTGTCCCTGATAAGGTTGCCTTTAACTAAACTCTTACCACATGCATCACATCTATAAAGATTATTGACATTGTGTATTCTCGTGTGTTTCTGCAAGACGATAATGTCAAAACAGGCTTTACCACACACATCACACTAATATGGCGTATCAACGGTGTGTTTTCTCGTGTGTCTCCGCAACTGCTGGTTCAGTCTAAAAACTTTATCACATATATCACATTCATAAGGTGTATCACAGTGTGTGTTCTCTTGTGTCTCTGTAACTTTTCACTCAGATTAAACACTTTGCCACATATATCACATTTATGACGTTTATCTTTCGCCTCTCTTTCATCACTATTGTGTGTTCTCAAGTGTAACGGTAAGTGTTGACTCTGAATAAATCCTTTACCACATATATCACATTTATAAGGTTTATCACCAATGTGTATTCTCATGTGTCTCTGTAAGTTCTGCCTCTGAGTAAATCCTTTACAACATACATCGCATTTATAAGGGTTATCACCGATGTGTATTCTCGTGTGTCTCTGTAAACGCTGCCTATGAGTAAATCCTCACATTCATAAGGTTTATCACCAGTGTGTATTCTGGTATGTATATGAAAGTTATGACTCCGACTAAATCTTTTATCACATACATCACATGTATAAGGTTTAGTGTGCGTCATCATGTGCTCTTAAAACAGGTGATTTTAACTAAACGCTTTAATTATAACATGTATCACAATTCAAAGCATGATCACCGGTTCTTCGATTGGCCTCATTATTGGATATGCCTCTTTATTCCACACTTTACCAGTCTGCCAGTGTTGTCACCAGTTTCCCGATGGGCCTCATTTTTCCACTCTTTACCACACACATGATATCGATCATATTCATTTCTTTCATGATAAAATCTATGTTTATCCTTTATTAACAGACCTGTAGTCTGATCAAAGTATCGAGTCATGGGACCTGGTATGTTTTCGTTGCAAGACATTCTTTTTTTTTCTCTGCTCTTTCTTGTTCGGTTTTTGTTTTTCCCAAAAGGCCTGCAGAATAAAGAAGATGAACCAAAGTTTGTTGAATTGCCATAATCAAATACAGTGAAACCTGTCTAATATGACCAGGTTATTTGTCGGCTCGGTCATATAATGCATTTTCGGGGGAAACTAGCTGTCTCTAATATAACGTCCAAGTCGCTGGAAGGTTTACATATTTATTCACGTCCATATATTTCTATCTCAAAAACATAACTGAATAACAACATCGAAAAACAAATCTAAAATACAATTTCAAAGACTGATTGACATGCGGAAGTGAACCAATCAAAATATATTGTTACCAAATAATATAAATTCGCGTTTTGCCGAAAGCGGGGATTACAGATTTAAACATGTTTTGTTTCTCAAGTTTGTCAAGAGTCGCTTTCGGCAATTATATCACTATGTGTCAACGGCGTTTTGCATTTGCGCCGATTTGCATTTCATTTGCGCCGATTTTTTCTTTCATTTGCGCCGATTGTGTACAGGTAGATTACAGGTAAATGTTATTTCTTATTTATCATTATAAATCTTTTCTGTTGACAATTATAATATGTATATAGCTGACGAATATAAATCTTTAATAATTAATGTAAATGACAGGATTATAGTTTAGCGTAAAATACATGTAACTTGTCAATTATTTAGATCGATAAGGAATCGAAATGATAAGACAAATCATGAAATATGCCACGAGCTCTTAATTTCATACTATATACAAAAAGATATAAAATAGTAACTTTTGAACGAACAATTTTCGGGTCATACTAAACTGAACCTCTTCGGGACTTAAGATTTTGTTCGGTTTTGGCAGATGTTCGGTTTAATCAGGTTCACAAAACATAAAATTTGATATGACTGGACTTAGGCTGGACTTAAGAACAATAAAATTGAGAATGGAAATGAGGAATGTGTCGAAGAGACAACAACCCGATCAAAGAGCAGAAAACAGCCGAAGGCCACCAATGGGTGTTTCAACACAGCGAGAAAATCCCGCAACCGGAGGCGGGCTTCAGCATGCCCCTAAACAAAAGTGTGTACTAGATCAGTTAAAATGGACGTCACACTAAACTCCAAAACATATAAGTGAACTAAAATTAAAAAGAAATACAAGACTAAAAGGCCAGAGGCTCCTGACTTGGGACAGGCGCAAAAATGCGGAAGGTTAAACATGTTTTGTGAGATCTCAACCCTCCCTCCATACCTATAGCCAATGTAGAATAAACAAACACACAGCAATACGCACAGTAAAACTCAGTTTAAAAGAAGTCCAAGTCCGACGTCAGAATAGGTAACAAAAGAAACTGAACAAAATGACAATGATACGTCCGTTCGGAACAAATCCTAACTTAAGTAGCTTTATGCATACGGGCCCAGACTATTGAATAAAAGAACCCTCAAAAAAATGAAATGAAATGATGGAAATAATAAGGATAATGTCGCAAGCAATGTATAATATTGTGTTTATATAGGTAAGTACATATATGACAATTACCAAATGTATGATACAGTAAAATAATTTCATTAATTCTTTTTATTTGACACACAATTTTTCCTTAAGCGTTGGACTGACAAATAAAAACAACATTTCCTTAATTTAATTTTGTAAATTAATACGTTGTTGACAATGTACATGGTACCGTAGTTACACTGTAGCCATATCCTTGTTTACATCTATATGTGGGGATCATATTGCGCATTAAATTTTTCCGTTTCTCATTACTGAACAGATACCGTGAAAACTTGATATCCGCATATTTCGCATAGCACATTATTTTGAACTGTTCTAAGTTTTCCAATTTGCATTGCATTCTTTAAGAAAAAAAATCAAATACAAAGGATTTAGAAAACCTATTACTATACAAATAATGAAATAGCATTACTATACAAATAATGAAAAAGCATTACTATACAAATAATGAAATAACATTACTATACAAATAATGAAATAGCATTACTATACAAATAATGAAATAGCATTACTATACAAATAATGAAAAAGCATTACTATACAAATAATGAAAAAGCATTACTATACAAATATTGAAATAGCATTACTATACAAATATTGAAAAAGCATTACTATACAAATATTGAAATAGCATTACTATACAAATAATGAAATAGCATTACTATACAAATAATGAAATAGCATTACTATACAAATAATGAAATAGCAAACACAGAGACATGAGATATAAATCTTTAACTTTCACCACCATTTTAAATTGATTACTTCTTGACGATTATTTTTGCGAGAAGATTGTCCTTTTTATACGTTATTAGTTTCAACCGTTTCCTCGTAAACCTGTGTTACAATGTCGTTTTTGATGACACTACATGTTTATATGAAATTCAAGTCAAGAATATTAATCGACTATATTAAAAAATACGAACTATTTATGATGATTGCGCAAACTGTAATCAGATACAGGTGATTTTGAGATCAAAGGTTTGAAAAAACCAACATATATAACTTCAGATAGCACAAGACATATTAGATTAAAAAAATAAAGGACTAAGCAGAGCAGTCTAAACTTTACCTTCCACGAGTGAGTGTCATCCTCATCGTAACGACATTTCCATTATTATAACATGTATAACAACTCAAATATTTTCAAGCATATAATGTTAGGGTACCCAAATTGCACCTATTTTGACAGTTTTTTCACCTACTTTTTTTATGATCCAGACAAAAGTTTCCATTTTATGTTTATTTTTGTAGATGTATCCTTATTTACTATACAATTTCACCAATTTAATTCTGAATCCATATTGAATCATAGAAAAATGGGTTTGAACCTACATCCAAACGACCCATGATTCGGCAATGAGGAGTACCCAAATTGCATCCATGCTTAAATTCACGTCCGTAAAAATCGAATAACTGATGTTTTGTTTTATTTCTTCAAATATTTTGAACAATTTGACAATAGTCCATGCTTACTATTCTTTTTTTAAGAAATTGATGCCTGTAACATATTGTATTTGCTCATTTTTAAAAGATGACTTTTTTGTGGACGTCGCATGGCGACGTTTTCGCAGATTTTACTTTTTCCAGTAAACACTTCAGCTGTTGATATATACTGTGAACGTTTTGTGAATATTTAAATATATTTACCTATTTGAAAGACGTGCATAATGTCAAATGATAAAAACATACAAATTGTTTAGTCCCTAAGAAAACTTGCAAGAGTTTTCGCTGCTATTTTTGCTAAATAGGTGCAATTTGGGTACTCGGTGCAATTTGGGTACTGTGACGTTAAATGGTATATAAGATATTTAAAAAACAGAGATATTGTAAAATTGTTCCATTTCCATCTACGAAGTATATGTTTAATGGCTCATATTTACTATAAACGGTCTAGTTACAGTACTTGTAAAGCGATTCAAAACTATACATTTAGTTTCTAACTTTACTTTTAGACTTTACGCTTCACTGGGTTTCAAATGCTTAGGTTTGATCTTTGTGGTGAGGGTTTATCCAGAAAAGCGCTTCGGATGTATGAAATTTATAAAGCGTGTATTTCATTTAAGAAATATGCTTATAAAAATAACATTAAACTTGGGGTCTATGACAAAAACCACAATACATCCCTTGAATTGCGCTTTGGTTACCTGTTATACATGCAACTTTTTTCAAAGCGCTAATTTTCAGTACAATTTAAAACAAAAGAAATCAAATTATAACAACAAAAGAAGAAAAAAAAACACGACAAATACACAGAAGCAATTATAGCAATTTCAACATGTTTCATGATCACGTTTTTCAGGTTTAGAAAGCAAAACATTCGATTGCCAAAACAACGCGACGGGTATATGAATAGTGGAGCAATCACTACTTGCGTGCGTTTGAATGATATTATACAGTTATAGCCTTTGTATGAGATCGATACGAGGTTTTATCGACCTGAGAGAAGCATATTGAATGATAACGAATTCCGAGGTTGATATGCTTCACTAGGTCGATAAAACATCGTATTGAGCTCAACCAAAGGCTACAATTGTTATATTATTAATCAACAACTATTGCATGAACAATGTAAAATTGGGGATTTCTAGAATGTATTTTAAGTATATGCTGTATGCCCTGTGCAGTATGCTGTTTTTGATCTACGAAAAGCTAAACACAACAGTATTGGGGTGCAAACTGAGTAAATACAAATGTACATGTAATCAAGTTTTAACGAATCACAAATCACTAAAAATATTCGATTAATAATATAACAAATTATAATTATCGTATCTTTGATGAGTTCCTATCTTCCAAATGGCGGATCCAGGGGGGGGGACACCCCCCTTTTTTGGACGATTAATGCGTTTGAATGGGGACGCATGGTTGGAACCCCCCCCCCCCCCTTTATTCTGGGTTGGGACCCCCCCCCCCTCTTTTGAAAATGGCTGGATCCGCCCCTGCTTCCTGATCACTAGTTCAGTCATAACCTTTAAAGGGCTTCGTATTGTGTTTGCTTTAATATAGTGTAATGGTTGATTGTTCTTTTCAAAATCTATGATGTTTTTTCGTTCCGATGGAACTTTCCAACTAGTGGTGGCTATTTTATCTATCTTTTGTTCAGAAAATAGTTTTAATTATAGACTTGTTTCCGGTCATATCTGGGTTGGAGAATATATCACAGGTTAACAATTTGATAATAATTTAAGAATAGACAAGATACGTTTTGCTTTATTCCGTTGCCTTCTCATCAAATACTTTTCTTCGTGATTAACAAAAATATGGATCTCACTTGTGAAGCTGGAACTGCTGACTCTTGTAGAACTACTCGAGGTAACTCTACGTAAAGACTACTTTATTACTTTTGGCTGCTCTACGTAAATACTACTTTTTGACTTATTTGGCTATGGGCTTTTCTGATTTTAATTGTCTTTTATGTTTTAATTGCCCTTACTTTAACAAAGACATATTTTTTCATTAGTTCACATTTTAGTTAGCAAAATGTTCCCCTCGAAAACTTGTTATTTGCCCGTAAGCCAATCATTTATCAAATTAATATGTTTTTTTTTTTACAAATTGCATTTGTGTAATATGCGCAGCTTGGTATATCAACATTATATATAGGTATAAATAGATGTTTTATGCTTGACTAATATTTTCATAATTTTGTAAGTTTAAGACGTTGTTTGAAGAATATTCATTTACGTTAACCTGGTAAAATAAAATGTTGAAAGCTGGGATTTTGATAGTATGTGTAATTCATTACGTACATGTAAGTTTTTAACATAAGTATTGAAATAAAACGTTCTTACTTGTATTATTGATTTGCATTAATTGATACAGAAACACAGAATATTTGATTTTTAAATCATCGATTCTAATTTATATCAAAATCTATCTTGTAAAATTATATTCATGAGTTAAATTAACAACACGTTTGAAAACCCCTTCCACATCGTATTGTGTACTTATATTATAATGACTCGGGATGTTTATCTAGAATTTAAACCAGATTTCATATTTTTCCTGTCAACTTTCACTTTTCGTATGTGTAACTTAGCTTCATCTCGGTGAACAAAACATGAAAAAGCTAAATCCGATTGGACAATGAAGCTATGATATGAAGAAGGACCGCAAATACTAGCACCAACCCCCACAAAGAACCCTATCAAATTATACTGATAAAGAGTTTATTTTCGTCTGGTTTAAAATTTGCGATTAAATATAACAACCGGTTAGCTATGATTTTTTTCTCTCGTTTTTATTGTCCTTCCATGAAAATCCAATTTAGGGGAAAGTAATTTATCGTTTTAATTGCAAAATTAGTGATAAAAACCATTGCAAAATATCGCATTTTACAACTTAGAGAGAAAGAAACAAGAAATTGGTATAGATAATGAACAGTCCATGGTTAGATACTACCGTTAGAATAAGCAAGAACTAACATTTAAGGAATGACTGTAATATTTTTTTCTGTCTATGAAGAAATAACATCAAAAATGAGGTGCACACTGAATAACTCGCGTAGCGGGTTATTTAAAAGTGTGCACCACATTTTTTATGTTATTTCGAATAGACAGAAAACATATTAAAGTCATTCCTTATAATTTTATTCTAAAAAGGAGTAAATCATGATAAAAACGTTGATGACGTCGCGGTCACATGACAAAATCATGTCTATGTTCTGATAGACAAAACACTATCAGCCAATCAGAAGACGTGTTACATTTAAAAATTAAATTATTCAGAAACAAAACTCCATATAAGTTTTCTGTGTTGTGTTTTGAATGCTGTTTATCTTTTGGCCTTTTTTTTTCCTTTTTAACCATGACATTGTCAGTTCGTTTTCGACTAATGAGTTTGAATTTTCCTTTGGCATCTTTCGTCTATCTTTTCATAAAATTTGATTGAAATTCACTATTTTGAGAGAGGCTTTTCAGAATCATTTTTACTGAATACGTGCGTGTTACTGTACCTGTAGCCATTGTAGTTGAAAGACTTACGATTTTCCCCGATTAAATTTTTTGTATGACTTGTTTTGATTAGTGACACATTTAAGAGGTATTTGGGAAATACCATACGCGTCTTATATTGCTAGAAATGTTATATTTACAGAAAAGAATCCATAGAGAATGAAAAAGTATGTGATACATGTATGTGAATGGTTTTACACTAGTAATTTTTTGGGGCCCTTTATAGCTTGCTGTTCGGTGTGAGCCAATGCTCCGTGTTGAAGGCCGTACCTTGACCTATAATGGTTTACTTTTATAAATTGTAACTTGGATGGAGAGTTGTCTCATTGGCACTCATACCACATCTTCCTATATCTATGTGATATCATATACAAATTACTGTTGCTTTAATGAAAGGTTCCGTTTTTAAAAGCCTGCTTCGTTAGACCACAATGTATCAATCCGTAAAATAAGGATGCGAAAATTGGAAAATCGCCGTTAAAATGTTATTGTTATTTTTCTTTTCGTTCATATCCAGAAGCTTCAGATCCTCAACTTTAATTTTTTACATATACTGATTATCAGTATAACAATAAGGTATAATTTTAATGATAGAAAAATTATCTAATTTGGATAAGTTTTAAGTTTTCTTTTTTATTTTGATAAAAAGTCACTATTCCTTTCAATAATTAGTATTTATGTTTTATATTCTAAACAGAGTGCATCTGATCGTCCTAGATGTCCAATATGGTTAAATAACAAACCAAATGCAGGTTCCCCGTGTGTGATCAATACAGGAACCAGTGCAACTCCGATAAGGAGTGTAAACAAGGTCAGTGTACTGTTGTGTCCAATACAGAAACCAGTGTAACTCCGATAAGGAGTGTAAACAAGGTCAGTGTACTGTTGTGTCCAATACAGAAACCAGTGTAACTCCGATAAGGAGTGTAAACAAGGTCAGTGTACTGTTTTGTAAGGAACCAGTGTAACTCAGATAAGGAGTGTAAACAAGGTCAGTGTTCTGTTGTGTCCAATACAGGAACCAGTGTAACTCAGATAAGGAGTGTAAACAAGGTAAGTGTACTGTTGTGTCCAATACAGAAACCAGTGTAACTCCGATAAGGAGTGTAAACAAGGTCAGTGTACTGTTTTGTAAGGAACCAG